AGAAAAAGAATAAGATGAAAGTCTTATTTTTAAGAATGAGTAACTAAAGCTTGTAAAGAAAATGTAATATATATATATATATATATAACTAAATAAGGTGAAGATTTTTTTGTAAACAAACAACTTATTCTTAAAAATTATGCAATGATATTAGTTTGAACATTTTATTTATATATTAATCTTTTTTATCATACATGCATTTCAAGATGTTCGTAGAAACTTCATACTTTTAGTTTTTATGGTCAATTCAATTGAAATTTATTAATTTAAAAAAAATATAAATCAATTTTTTTTCATAATATAAGTTAAAGAGTACATGTTTATTAGTTAATATATTTTCAAAAAAGAATATATATTTTAAACATTTAATTTAATGTCATTTACAAAGTTTCTTATTTGTCTAGTATAAACTTTAAACAATTACATTTTATTCACTAAATTTAATATTAATTTTATGATTGCAATTGTGTATCGAAATAAAAATGTATAATTACAGTGTGACATTCAAACATGATATGTGTAATTACATTACAATGTAGCAAGTAAACAAATCACTGAAATTATTAGACAGTGAAATTACTTATTACCCTAATAATTACACCAATTCTAATTACCAGATGACTTTTCAAACCGACCCTGACTAGCTGCCAGAATATCTATCTTTTATTCAAGGTGGCAATTGCTACTATATTTGCACACTATCTCCATTTTTAGTTGGCGTAATGACATGAACAGGTTGACATCTAAAAGAAAGTAACATGAAAGTTGAAATCGACAAAGAAAACAAATATTGACAAAATCAGTTCGTGAGGTGAAATTGGTTAAGTTTGTATAAAGACATGTCCACTGTCTATAAAAATTTGAGGGTAGACTCTCATATTCCCGTGTATTTATAATTAAATATCTAAAGCTTAAATAATGAAATGAAAATAAATCGATTTTGATATCATGATAAAAAATAACGTTTATGATACGAAAAATTACAGAATCATATAATAAAACTTACGTGAGACTATCATAGAAATTGTATTTGAACATGAGAATACATTTGATTTTTTATGTGTGTGAACTTGAGAAAACCAAGACACGTTTTTTTTAAACTCCAAAATTCATAATAGACCAATTTAACCAACAAATACTCTACTTAATTAAAAATATTAAATTATGTGACACTAATATTTTATATTGGACATTATTGCCCACATTACCTATTTATGAGTTGCAGGGGTAAATTAACTAAAAATCCTATTAATTTCAAAGCATTTGCTAGTGGGGAAATCAACTAGCCAGTTACGTGTTGCTCTAATAGTTGAGCTTCCAAGATGAATACGTCTCTACAACATTCATAACTTATTGAGAAATTGTGAATATTGAGGAAAAAAAAATAATCTCTATCATAGGACAGAACAAGTCACGTTCGAGACCATGGAAATTATTGTGGTTCATATATCATTTATAATTTATAATCACGATGTCTGAATTTTTTTATACAATTATTTGACGATAGATAATTTCACTAAAATCAAAATAAATGAAAAAGGATTTTGTCTCAATAGAAATTTAAAACTAAAATTTAATAATTTTCATGTCACTTTATTATTAATTAATAAAGTGGAGACATTGATATGTCCATAGGATTAATTAAACAAAAACAAATGTGGGCATTTAACTATTTTCTATTTTCTATTTTCTATTTTCATGCATGTGTGGTTCTATGAAGAGACAATTATGTTTGTTAATAATTCTTCTCTTATTGGAACAATCAATGCATCAAATTCGATGGGGCCTACGTCCCTCATTCAATCAATACTTTGTTTCCTTTCCACCCTACTCAACTTCTAACATATTCCAATACCATGGTCATAATTAAGCACCGTCTAATAATAGTTGTCGATTATATTTTTCTGTTTGGTATTATTTATCATAATTTTTATTTTTAAAATTAAATTATAAAAATTTTGATGAATATTTAAGATGTATTTTTTGATTATATTAATATTTAAAAAATTGTAATTTATATTACTTTTTATATAATTTTAGATTACTATTTGTTTGTTTAAAATATAGAATTAATATGATCTAATTTAAACTTAAAATCAGTCAAATTAATTTTTAAAAAGCGCTTTATGACAAACAATTTCGAATGGAGGGAATAAAATTTTAAAATATTTAATAGTAATATTTATTCATTTTATAAAATTTAATCGACGATTTTACACTTTATTTTTTTTATTTTTATAATTAATTATAGTCATTATTTTTCTGTTACATGACATTATTATTCAGGAAAATTTTGCGGATAAGCAAACTTATATTATTTAATTACTTATCATAGCTATAGTTTGCTATAATTACCACTCGTGACTAACATTATACATTAATTACGTGGGCTGACTTTGAGTTTGTATAATTAGTCATTTTTGTATATGTATAATTCGCTAGGATATACAAATAAATATGTAGAATATACAATTTTTTAGCCTATATACATATATAATTCACCTCGCTCCCACTCTTTGCCCTCTCTCGCTCGCCTCTCTCCTCCCTCTCTCAATCTCGCTTTCCTTTCTCCTCCCTCTCTCAATCTCGCTTCCCATTTATACCAATGTATATGTATAATGTACAATTATATACATATATAATTCACCTCTCCCACTCTCTACCCTCTATCGCTCGCCTCTATCCTCTCTCTCCTAGTCTCGCTCGCCTCTCTCCTCCCTCTCCCAATCTCTCTTGCCATATATACAATTACATATGTATAATAATACAATTATCTAACCAATATACATATGCAATTCACCTTTCTCCCACTCTTTTCCCCCTCTTTCTCGCCTCTCTCCACTCTCTCCCGGTCTCTCGCCGCTCTCCTCCAAATAACATGTATCTACAAATTGTAATTATCAAACTATAGCTATAAAGAGTAACTAATTATTTTTAAGTGGGTATATGTGAAAGTTTCCCTATTTAAAAGACCATATAGTAAAATTATTCTTCTGTTTATAATTTAATAATAAGTGTGAAAAATCAATAATGGACAAATATTATTAAAAAAATATTTTTTTTTTATTCTGAAAGGATAAAATGGGATAGAAAAGTGAACCCTCACCAATAAAATAACCATTTATTTAGTCATTCAATGCGGCTACTGGAATTCCTCACTATGATAATTAGAATTTCTTTTAAAATTATAAAATTTCTACATCTCACTTTAATTATACGTGATTATATAGTTTGTTTGCTTTTTAAGAAAAAAAATATTAACTGATAACGGATAATTTCTGTTGTTAAATAAAAAAATATTATTACTAATTCTATTAGATGATGGGATATAAAAGTTTCATGTAATCATGTTAGCCGTGGTTTATTCGAAATTTATAGATAATGTTCTTTGTTGTTGTAGTGATATAAGTGACTAGAATAGAAAAAATAATTTGGAACATATTATACATATTAACTTTTTTTTTTTTTAAATCCAAATAACTGCAATCGCTATAATTTCTATTGGGAGAACACTCTATTCGCACCGGGTAAACCCATGATATGCATAACTTTTATTAATTTTAAAAGATTGTAAGTTTTGCATTGCTATTACTACGGAACATTTTCTTTATTTTACTAAAAAAGGACAAAGGGCACAAAATGCGTCAAAACTCATAAGCCCAACAAGTCGAAGGCCCATGTTATTGATCGGCCCAAATTGAGTTGCGGTCCATTTTTCTATTTTGCCCTATTTTGTAGTTGTTACTAAAAGACCAAGTTCAATAAGGCCCAATAGCGTTTGACGTCTATTTTTCTTGGGCCCAATGGAGTTTGATGCGTCGATTTAGTTAGGAAAAATTACATGGAATGTTACTTTTTTAAATAAATAATTACTGATTTTACCGAGATTTTTTTTATTTATCACTATTTGTAGCAACGCTATGTTAAATCTGCAATATGTATTAGAAGTGAATTATGTACGCATTATAACTGTTTTTTTTTAAATATATTATGCTTGTTTTGTAAGAAATTGACACATTGTATTATAAGTATATTAAAATGTGCGATAAATTAATCATCAATAAAACTTGTTTTGTGTACGAATAAGAAATTATTCAATGTAATATGTATTAAAACTGTATTATAAATGTATTAAAAGTGATCAAGTGAAAAAAAATATTATTGCTATAAATGGTAAGTATTATCTTAATATAGTATGTTTATGTAAGTTTCTCATTTAGTTATAACCAATATACATGAACAATATATATATATATATATATATATATATATATATATATATATATATATATATTATT